AAAAGGTTGCAAGAAGCCGGACTAGTTAATTTGACCATTCATCAGGAAAAGGTAACAGATGGGTCTTTTGTATAGTACGCTTCATCAACACTATTACACCTCCAGATCAAGGCTAACTTCATTCCAAAAATTACTATATTGACACTTTTACCAAACAATTACTTCTATATTCTATACATTTACCTTCTGTAATAATGTAAACAATTTGCAAATCCACGGAAGTGCTTAACAATGTGTAACATTAACACCGCTAAAGGAAAAATATTAGTACTGCAGTCAATTGCTATCCTTATTGAAGTAACTAACAATTATTTAAATCCTTACAATCGTCTCACTTTAATTTCTCTGCCAGGGTTTAGAGAGAACTCTCACAGAAAGAGTATTCTCTGAAAAACGACAAATCTTGGAGCGCGGCTACTTTTTTTAACCTCCGCCTTCTCTGAATAAACCTCCGTTTTACTTATTCAGAACTTTAGATAGGTAAACGGGATTAGCGAAAAGGAATCGAGAAAATCAGTTGTAGAAATTAGCTTACCAATTAATGGGATTAGGTTAGGCAGTTTCTTGGGCGATTTCTTATAATTTTAAGAACCAACAGAAGAATCCTGGAATGACCTAAACATATGTTTTATGGCGCTAAAACTCGATTCGTTGGAGCTCCCTTTTCAATAAAAAATGAGATTCGAGTAGCTAAAAATTGTAATAAACCCCTTTCGCCTTACAACTTGGGTCGGAATAAGAATTATTCTGAAGCGAGCATGAGAATCTGTCTTGGGAGTGAAAGGATTAAGCTAAGAAATAAAGACCGAAAATTGCTCGTCCCCCGTCTTCTGTTCAGTGTGGCTTTCTTTCTTTCTTTCTTTCTCTCTCCCTTGCTCTTGCTTGCCCCTTTCTTATGAACTTTCTCTTTTACCTTGTTTTCTTTCATTCTCTCTTTTTTTCCAGGTCGGACAAAAGCGTTTTATTGGCGGAATCATGGCAGCCTTCACTCTTTTTAACAATCTTGCCGACTTTATGGGGAGGGTCAACAACGTAGTCGGCTGGTTTGACAACATCGACCGCTTTATGGGATCAGGAGGAACACAAAGTGAAAGTCAAGTTAATGTCGAACAGATCAATGAGTTGAAGACAAGGTTGGATGGTTTAGCGACTGACGTGGAGAGTAAGATTGAACACAGAATGTTTATGTTTACAATGTATAACGGATTCGCTTCTCTTAGAGAAAAATTGGAGGAAATGAAACATTTATCATTTTATTTTTGGTATACAATGCCTGAATTTTGTTGTCGGTCGCAGTTTACTTTACGGACCGAACCTCCCTTTCGGTAGGTGGGATATTGGTAGAAGGATATATAAAAACGTTTTATTCTAGCATCGTTTCGGGTCGGTAATTGATGATGGTTAAGTTTCGCCATTTTCCCTCTAATGGGTAGACATAACATGCAGCTAGGTTTACTGTAAGATGATTGTTTTCTTGACCTGTTAAGGACCACTAAACGTTTTAAAGGGCGACCACCTAACTTCACTGTCGTTTTTAATACTGTAACCACAGAAAGATATTTCATTGATGACTATATATACTCAATGTAGTCAATTTGTTATATCATTTGTTGAACTTTTCCATAGACGGGTTCAAAAGCCTTCTTGCTGGAGGTGAATACACAGATGTGTTGAATATTGTGGCCGGAGACGTAAGGATTTTACAGCTTATTGATGGTTATCAAAAGGAATACTTAGAAGAGGTGAAGCGTTACAAAGAACGACCTGCGGGAGAGAGAAATAGCGACGAAATGGCTGCAAGCGAAAACAGCTGGTTCGAGAGTGTGAGTTTGTTTCTTATTCTGACTATTCAGAGGAAAACCCCTATTTCGTCCAACATATACATCCAAGCCCTCTATATTTCCCATAATTCGCATATAAATCTCCTATTGGATTATTGGGGGTAACGCAAGGTATAAAAATCGCTTACCATTCAATAAGTAATATTCAATAAATGAGCAGGAGTGTTTTATCAAGTTTAAAACACGAGGCGCAGCGGAGTGCTTTAGGACTTGATAAAACACGAATTGCGAATTTATTGAACGGCTTCAAAAGCTTTACCGTACATCTATCCATTCTTACACTAATTTTTAGAGTTTGGGTTATTTTGGCCTAGAAAATCGGACGTAAAATTTAGCCGCGTCTTTATCAGATATAAAGACACTCATTAAACATTAATTTCGTTTGTTTTGCCATCCTGAGTTATTAATGAGTTTTTGAAAAAAAATTAAGGAATTAAGATATGGTAGACGAGTAAGCAATACATAAACAACAGTGTCAGGGATGCGCGATATCCCATACCGGAGTTTATGATGAAATGTACCACGCCAAACTTTAGAGTTTAGTGTTGAGGCTCCACGTTGGTGTCTCTCAATGGTCAATAGAAACATCTGTTATTCACTTTGGCCGGCTTTCTCAAAACCATTCTCTTTTCTGCTGAACCTGCAAACATTCACATAAACACCTATCTTGACTATTACCTGTTCGGGGCTCAATACATGCTGAATTAACGTTTCATGTTATATTCGATCGATTACTCTCAGACGCTCAATCGCTCCTTTAGCTGCAGCCATCTTTATGCCACACACTGAGAAACAAATCTGAAATTCAATCTGATGTCAGGCAAAAACCGATTTGGGTATCATATCCTATACTTAGTGCTTGCAGATGACGAGACAATATAAAAGGTGGAATCCTAACTCGCCGTTGGATTTTTAAAGACTTCAATGTTCTTAAATAATGTGTTGTTAAATATACGTAACAGGGTAGATTATAATAGAACATTTTAATCGATCGTTGTTGTTGGAAAAAAAACAAAGACAACTATATGGTTGTAAGATCTCCCGATAACCAAGTCAACGTAAACGTTTATAACATTATTCATCGACGAACATTTAATTAAACAACTGGGGTCTCCAGATACAACATTGGGATAATAAACAGACTAAGGTATTATCTAGATTAATAAAAAGATGAAAAAATTGCATTACACTTTAATCCTTCCATACCTAAATTATGGCATTCTTAGCTGGGGTAGTACGTATAACCCCAGAGTGAGTGAGCTCCGTGTGCAGCAAAATAAATGCATACGTAACATTTTCTATGCCCACTGACTGATTCCAACTTACTTGGAATCCTAAACTTTGATAATATCCCGAAATTCAGCAGTATTTGCCCATAAACTTTTACATAATAAGAAAAGCATTCCAGTTGTATTCTCTGACTTCATAGCTCCGGCAACAATAACTCAGGCTTCGAACCCCCCAGGTGATGTTTCAGCTAAGACAACTATAGCTTTTCGGCAACGTGGCGACGGCTTGACTCTCCCGGACACACCAGTGTCCCACTGGTTACCTTCGGCTTTTAGACAAGTTTGTGGATTCATCCAGACAGTAGCCATTAGGCTGGCATCAAAAGTAGTAGATATCCAGCTTTTATTAGGGTGCTCTGTAAGACAAGGATCATTACGTGGCCATCCCACCAACGTTTTGCATAGTTTGATTCAGTTGAAAAGATGAAATATTTAGCTCTTTGTGTGCGGCATAGATAGATAGCCTATACGAAATACCAAGCCCATTGTTGATGTTGTTATTCATTTATCCAAAATCTACAAATTGACAAACATACATCAACGAAACTAACACTATACATTAAATAAAAAAAGAAAAGGCCACACCCATTTTATGTCAATCGTAATTGTTCACTCTTTGAAGCAATGATGCTTTTTTATACAAGTATCTTTTCTTTCAGCAGCAATTCTGCCAAAACCATTTAAGCCTGAGGATCTTGGAATCAATTATCAAATTTGCGTGTTAGAGAACGTAGGTATTTATTCATTTATTATCTTTGGTTGTCAGATTGAGGCCAGAGACGACTCTCTTGAGGACGCTCTAGGCAGTCTACGTTTGCAAGTTTGCGGAAAACCTTTGCTGACCCAAACAAGTTTGTACGAAGCTTATGCCTGGAAACACGGACAGCAATCTACAGCTGAGGGCAGCGTGGAAAACCTGATGGAATTTATATCTAGGGTTCGCCTTTTAGAGGCCAATGGGTATGCCGTGCGAAAAAATTTTGTTATGAAAAAGTACAAGGACAACACGGCGCGGAATAACACAGAAGTAAGAAGAATTAACACTCGGATGGAACAGACTAAGGCATGTGAAGACCCTGCCATTGCCAGGGCCATGTCGAGAATGGTTGATCATCAAGGTTGGTGGGTTTTGAAAAATGTCTCCTTGGAATACGGAAAAAAGAAATATTTTCTTATTCTGATAAAGGCTTCTATGAGTATCTGAAGCAGTAAAGTTAAGCCAATTATATCGTTCCTTAATAGCTTAATTCAGGCACAGAGGAGGCTAAATAAGGCGCGATCAAACCACGAAATTTGTCTCAATAATTAAACCTATTTCTATCACTAAGTTGCGCGGAAAATTCTATCACAGAGCTTAGTCAAAAAATGTCTAAAAATTATTTCATGATACAATATGCATTCGTCAGCCATCAATCTCAATCAGAAAATATTAAAATTAAAGTTCATCGTAGTTGTGATCGTTACCTAAGCTGGGGCCAGTTTCTCGAAAGCCCCGGAAACTTTTCGGGCCCGTAAAGCCATTTTTAGTTCATCTGTACCTAAAAACGGAGAAGTGTATACGCCTGAAACTTCTTGTATGAAGGGAACCTCTCTTCATATTAAGAATATGTGAATAAAACAGCTCTGTAATCGTAAGGTTCGAGGTTTGCTATTTTTCCGAAAAGTTTCCGGGGCTTTCGAGAAACGGACCCCAGTAACGAAAGGAAATCCTGGAAAAATCTAGGCTTAAACAGAATTCGAACCCATGACCTCTGTGATCATCTACGGGTTCATTACGAACTCACAAAAGGACCGACCAGCTCCCAGTTGGCTTGATAACTCAATTAGCATAGCACTGCACCGGCCGCGGTATCGCAGGGGTCATGGTTCGATTCCCGTTCAAGCCTGGATTTTTTCTCGGCTCTCCTTAGGTTACTGCTTAAGAAGCGTTCATAACAGCGACGAACTTTAATCTTTACATGCTTCTGTCCGCAGTTCAACTACGTGTCTTTTATATATTCTCTAGTACTCAATCAGAAAAGTTATCTTTGTTTTAGAAAAGTGTTGTCGCGATTTTGATGGCTTTGTTCCTACTTATTTTGGAAGTAGTAACGGAATTTCGAGTAACAAATGCCAGAAATAGAAGGACGATTATTGAGGATTGCAAAAGGGTTTAAACGGAAAATTACAGTGATGCAGCATATTCACTCTCATGATTACTGTTGATCTGTGTCCCATATATACGCTATTTCACCTATACTTTTATAGCGTTTTCACTCACGTGATCAATGAGCATGTTTTTCAACCAAACCAAAAGAAAACGTATGCATAAGAATACCGTTCAATTCCCGGAGGATTAGTTTAGGACACCCACATGGCTGCCGTTCCTTTGTTATGGGACACCAACATGGCCGCCCTGACGTCACTCTATGGAGTGTTTTCGCCTGACGTAACGGTGACCATGTTAGTCTAGAGAACAACAGCGAAAGGGTCTTTTGAGAACTTGACTCTATTATTATGCAAAACGTGTTCGATATTTTGCTATTGTTTTGTATACCAACACGGCCGTCTCATCACGTGTGTGAAAACACTCTATTGTTTGTTTGTTTTTTGTGACAGTTTGTTTAAACTTAGCCTCTAAATCGTTGTTATCACTTTCCTAGGTATACCTATTTTTGGGAGAATTCGCTGGTCACATTCACATCGAAACAGATCAAGTGGAGAGACTTATGACAGGTTTGTTAGGATATACAGCGTTTTATGAAGTCTTAAAAATTTCCTTGTTTGCTTTATTTTAATTACTTCTTGGTTTGAATGGGATCATACTCTGTATTTGGTGAGTATCCTACCCAGATTTTAGTACGATGTAATGGGCCACTTTTTTCCAGTTTTTTGATAATTGTTTGGGGTGATTTTGGCTTTAAAAAAGCAACTGATTATATCAAAAACTATTTGATGAAGTAAAAATGTTACTGAAAAGAAAATGATGGAGACAATAATCGCAAAAGAAGATTACAACACAAGTGATATGATATTCGATGAAATTAAAACATAAAGGTTTCAAAATCAATGTTTAAAGATAAATGAGAGAATTAATAGTTACACAAGGGATTCGCAGGAAGGAAAAACTAAATTGTCTAAATTGCTTCTTGCAAAAGATGTATTTTCATATAGAATATCAGAAAACATAAAAATCTAGATACGAAAGAGATAAACGGTTATGTCCTTCATTATGCTTACCACTAGACGGTGAATTTGGAAAGATGCTTAACAAAATTGTAATATAATGCATAAAACATTTAGTTTCCATTGGCGGACTAAAAAGCGATTAAAATTGAAAAAAAAAAGAGGATTTTCATTACAAGATGAAAAAAAAAACGGAAAACAACAGGTAAAATGGTAAAAAAACAAAAACATGCCAGGAGCCATGAGAGAAATAAATGACTGCAAGTGAAATTAAGAACATGTCTAATAATGGAAGTATTGAACAAGTATGGTATATATAAATCAATTATTCGAACTCTGTTAGAACACGCAGTGCCTGCTTTGCAGAATATTAACATGTATATTGGCCCAACCATTAGAAGGTGTGCAGAAAAGAGTCATGAGTATTATATATCCTATGCATCGCTGTCAACTGAACAGGCCTTGGCTGTTGCCATATGTACCGACTACATAGAAAAGTTAAAATGCCTGGAACATCCATTAGCTTTTCTTTTACCTAGAAAAGAACCGATAGTTCCTAATTATAATCTAAGATCTAGGAGTAATTTTAGAAGATTCTTGTAATGAGACCGGCTGAAGTGTAGAACCCAGCGCTCGCAGGAGTTTATTACCTTAAAATTTTAATTTCACATTGGCGTTGCAAAGATTATATTTTACTGACTCATTCAGTATTTATTGTAATTAGTGAATTTATCTATTATTAGTTATAGTACTTCTATATAATATAGCTTAAATGCAGCTTGTATTGTACTCTGTAATTCAGCCTTATATTATAGGCTGCAATGATTATGAGTTTTAATAAACGGTCTGTCTTCTTCTTCTTCATCATATAAGTTACCTTTTGTCTTACCCTCCCATTCCATTCCTTCAAAACAGGTGTCTGACTTACGAGACTTCATCTGGGGAGGCAGAGCCTGAAGCACGATCTTGTTCAAGTAACGCGCAAAACCAACAATGGAAACTCAAAGCTGATAACACACTGCGGCCAAGGAATGACGAAAGCAAATGCCTTTTCCTAATCGAACCGGAGGAGACTCGTGGAGCATCATTCGACGACTATGGCTATAAGGTCCTGCCCTGTAGCTCAAGCTACAACAACAAGAAGTTCACATTCGAATACTTGAGCCATCAGATACCAGGCCAGAACAAGTTGCACACATTTTTCAAACTTAAAGCGAAAAATGACAATTTTGATCGCGAGGGATGGCAAGGGCAAGACATCTGTTTGGCTTTCAGGGCGTGGGGGGGATATGTGGGAACCGCGTTTGAGCGTTGGGTTCCACAACCGTTTCGATGTACCTGTCCAAGAATTATAAATGAGCTGCATTGGTGTATTGGGGAGAGTCCTCCACGACCTTCTGATAACGATTACCCCTGGTTCAAATTTGAACCAGTTGAATAAAAAAGAAATAAATTGGCACAGTGGTAGAATGGTTTTCACTGAGTCGCAATTTCGTAATTACGCAATTACGTTTCGATGAGCCCTTAACTAGTAAAAAAATCAAAATCACCGAAGGTAAATAAATGAGTGAAAAGAGTGTTTATTAGAATGGCAAAAGAGAACAGAAGAATGTTGCTTAAATATGTCTTAAGTGAAATAAAATTGCTCTGAAAAGCCTTGTGTGGACTTTTTTGCGCTACTAACTTTGAAACCTTGATCGAATTGTGGAATGATGAGAAATAATAGTCACATTTTATTTGCAAAGCGACTGCGTGGATACCCTGGGTGCCGGAGACTTTTCATGCGCGGTTTCCGGTGTCGGTTTCGTCTTCGGGCCGAAGAAGTGTCGGCCTGCGGCCGACGAAGCTCCTCGTCACACGCGAGAAAAAATCTCTGGTACCCAGGGTACTGCGTGGATTACTATCGATATAAATTAACAGTAACACGTTCATTGATTAATGTTGCTGCAGTCGCGTTCTTCGGATGAGTGGGAAATTGGACAGTAAAATAGCCATCAGTAGGAGTGATTTGTTTAATGAGGACAATTAACTTTAAAAAAATAATGTGACAATCCTTAAAATGAACTTCAGGCCTCATATGGAAATTTAGGCTACGCGGTAATATTTTCCTCCAAGCGCCAATTAATCGAAAAGGGAGAGCGACCAACTATTGGTTATTTAACAATTAATGAATGAGGCTGAGTATCTTATGAAGAATTATGGAGACCTAGGAGGGTGCCATCCGTCGAGGCCGTGGGCCGAGGCGGATAACACCCTCCGAGATCTCCATAATTCTTATTATGATACGAAAGCCGAATTCAATAATTGTTTTATTATTCATTCAAAATAATTCCTAGTTGAAAAACAAAGCTAAAACATGCTTACCTCCATCGATGTTAAGTTCACCTTCGATAGTGCACGTTTAAGGTTGTTCAGCTCCGTAAATATTCTCAAAATATATAGCCGATGTCGCCCTTCGAGTTGTGTTCTTGCTGTTCTTGCCATGTTTTTAGCTATAATTTCGCCTAGTTCTTACTTTTGAAACTAGTGAAGAAGCCCCCTGTTACGACTACCTCCCGTAAGCGACCACTCAGTCTTTGCATTTTGGATGGTCGCTTACGGAAGGTTTGACTGTAATTCATCAAACAAGTCCAAGTCATTAACTCAGGGCTGCTGAAACGAACGACTTGAAAAGTTCTATGATTTTCACTAATTACATGTTTTTTTGGATCTGACACGATATTCAAAGAAAAAGTCCAGTTTAATCCTTAAAGTACGGTAAAATTGAAAGTGCAGCCGTGAAATGTGCCGCCTGGAATCAATAGCAAGCCATCATGACACTAAACGCGCTTACAGCGGCATTCAGCTCTCGCCTGCTTGGAGATTAGATAGAAAAATGAGGAGAAGATTCATTCTACAAGAAACATGATAATAAATAATAATGAACTTTATTAAGGTATTAGATCTGCTATAGACCCTTCCTTTTGAAAAATTTAGTTCTCAAATGATTGAGAATTTTGCAAAATTAAAATTACACAGGCCTATCAAGCGAGACCTGAGCTTTCAGAAAATTGATTTGCGAGGTGTCAATTTTCACACCTAAGGTGTTATTTCCGATTTATATATAACTAAAATTTCCCCAAGCATAGTGCTGCCGCCGCTCAGCCCGAGAGCCTTCCCAGTCGTCTCTCACTAAACCTCTCCTAATGGTGAGGAAGTTGTGCGGGGAAGGAGAAAATACGAATAAACCTGGCAAGTTTCAGCGCGGTATTATTAGGAATTTATGTCTTAAAAAGCGAAGGGAGGGAACTCAGGATCGGCCACCGTGGTTTTCTTAATTTTGGTATTTTACACGAGTTTTAGTATAATTTTTGGTATATGGGAAGGTTTATTTCGGGTATTTTGGTATTCCACTAACCCTTCCCCCGCCCCTTCCCATCCCACCCCGCCGGCCCTAAAACTGCGTATAGCAATCGGGTACTCCTGGAGCAGGGTCATTTGACAATAGAAATTGGAACACATCCGTCATCGTAGCACATCAAAGTTTTAAAGATAAATTAACTAATAAACTGTAAAAGACAAAATCAAACTGCATCCCAGGCACAGCCAGGGAGACTTGCTTATCCGGACCTTTACTTTATGCGCCCATACATGACGTACTTTCAGCACATTTGGCAGAGAGTAATCTGGGGCCCAAAAAAAAATCAAGATGGCGCCCGTTGTTAGCGTCTGTGTTAAAATAATGATAATCTGCAAGAACACTGGAAACTTTGGCTTCCTTATTCAGTTTGGAGGTTTGTTCTTGAATGCCTGGATCATTTAACTGCTTAAGCGGTATAAGGTGCCTTATTGAAAGCGCGTTTGAAGAGGATCAAACTCTAAAGGCTTGAATTCGATCCGACCTTGTTACAGGTAAGATAAAACGATAAATCTTAGTCTGTGCAGCAATTTTAAACCTGAAAAGGTAGAAAAAGAAACTATTTTTAGAGCTGAGGATCCTGAGGAAGTTTGTTGTAGTATGAAGTAGGCCTTGTTTACACACTGTAGTGTAGGTCAGTGCTTGGGATATAAGAGGGTGGACTGGGGTGAGTGTTATTGCATGTTTAAATTGTTGAAAGTGCCATAAAAGTGTGGAGTGTAAAAGATGATTCCGTTTGTAGTGCCAGTGTTAGCAATGGCAGTGATGAATTTGAAAAAAATAAATGCGCCTTAAGGTGCTGTAAGATGAAGATTAGAAGAGAACAAACAGAGGGCGTACCTTGGCTTCTCTAGGGAACTTGTTGTTACCTGGAGTCGGGAGAAGAAACAACTTTAACATCCTCAGCTTTGCAAAATTTCAATAATGATGATGTTTTTTTCTTTTCTTTTAATTGCAAAAAGAAAAAATAAAGAAACAAAAACGAAAATAAACAAATAAATTGTGTAGATTTTCAAAGTTGTCCAGTGGGATTTACTAATAAAGCATATGTTTCCTTGAACAACTTAACGCAATATAAGGAGAGCTCTGACTAATGCATAATCTGTACCATAACGTAATAATACATGGTTTCACGGCCGATAGATGGATAGTTACGACGTGGTGAAATGTGGTCAGTGACTACAAATAAAGAAGTAACCTAAAGTGACATTTTATTTAATTTCTGTCCAGTTAAATCATGAAAGCTTGGCATAACACATTGTAAGTTTAAATTGCAAAGTTTGGGCCTTTTCTCTATACTAAGACAAGTTTACAGCCCTTTAAAATGTCACTGCTAATACAAATTCCGTTTAACTTCGTCAGTTTCGTTCGAATAATTCATTGATTAATAGGTTGCTCTGATTGATTCATAGGTCAGTGTTTCCTTATGAACCTAGGGAAGGAATCAGTCGCAGATAATTAGTAAACTGACAAAAAGTCATGCATAAATAGTAGTACCAATACAGTAAGTTATTACGTACCAAAACATTCAGTTAGCACACCTGACTATGAGATATGCAATAAGTAGTTAGAAATATAACATAACATAACATAAAACTTTATTTATACTCGAATTTTAGAGTAGCTAACAACCTAATATCTTCGAGCTGACGCTACATGAAAATAATATAGAAATATATATATATACATTAAATGCATTATAAGAAATAATAATAAAATAATATTAATGATAATAAGCACATTAAAAAAAAGAAAATATTATTTACAATTCACAATTTTAAGTTTAAATATGTGGCAAGAGATTCTAAAATCAATAAAAACTTTTACTTTCTTTCAGAAATATTTGCAAATTAAGATCATTTTGACATCGCGATAAGTTTTGTCATCACCTTAGCACTCTTCTAACATGACAGGAATCCAAGGTGGGGCACATATGGGCCAACTACTTAAGCAGGGCTGCCCCGGTCTGCCTTGCTAGTACTCTTTGCGGAGATATCTTTTAAGCAGGTATTACGCCAGCTAGCTTAGCTAATTGAGCTAGTTGGGTTGTTTATTTAGCGTTATGCGATCGTGACAAAGTCAGCCATCCTGGCAAACCTAGCCAGCCTGGCTCATGTACTCCGGCCCTAAGATTGTTGCCATGGCGGCTTGTGACCTAACTTTTACGTAAAGTCACGCAAATTTTATTGACATAACCTCACTCTCGTAGAAATTACGAAGGGGATTGACCTGACTCATCTAAACAAGCAAGAGTATGCATAACGTTTTGTTACCGCTGTTGATGACACAGTCTTCTTTTTCCCTGCTTCCCAGTCCACGAGTGGTTTTTCCTTCGCCGCAACGTTTGCAGAAAAGCCTACCCTCGTCGTCTTGGTACGATCCTTGAGGACACGGAATGCATTTTAAAATCTTCACTTGGTAGAATGTTCCCTCAGGGCATGCAACTGGTAAAGATAAACATAGACTCAGTTAACTGTAACTAAATGTTCCTCAGTCACTGCGTAGTATACGTTAGCAATCATGGTCAGGATCAATAAATATCGCTTCGTATTTTTCAGTTCCGTGAAAAATCAGTGAATTTCTTTTCACTTTAGTATCCACTTTATTGGTTAAGTGGAGAGTTACTTCTAATTATCAGGGCAAGGTGTTAGTCTAACTGCCATTTGCCGTTCATTCCTGTTTTTTAAAAGTTAATGTTTCTGCATGTTTGTATGTTCTCATTATGGAGAAAAAAAAACTACAGTAACTAATTTATGTGGTTTAAGGTGATTCCATAAACATGGTCTTAAGGTCACGGTAAACACCCGTACATAAATTAATCTCTCCTTTTTACAAATATGTATCGCCTTGAAATTTATTGGCACGGATCGACATTAACAAATTGTTTATTAAAAATTGCATGTAACATCGTGAACACTGATGGCTGTAAAAGTCTTTTTTTGTTGCGAGAGACAAAAATCTATTCATGGTAGCAAAATTTTCGCCATTATTTTACGAGTCAAAAAAGTGGTTCCCCGTTTGCGAAAATACTTTTTTAATTACGACACTTGTTCTTCTGTGAGTTCCAATACAAGAACGTGCAGTGGAATTTTATCACCATAATAAACATCATCTTGGCACTTAGTCATTTTTTTTTAAATTTCCACCAAAAAAAATGTACAGTGGCAGTTAAAGAATGTTTACATCGCGAAAGAGTTCCTTAGCAGTTTTGGTATATATTTCTGTAATTTCGTGGTCGTTGTCTTCAATTCAAATAATGTATAATTTTTTATTTCCTTTGCAGTGAGGAAGCAAACCGAACAGCCATGTTTTTTTGACTGTGTGCAATTACCATTCACCACCCGTTAGTGATCAGAATAATGTGTATCGAGACGGTGCTGATTTCCAGGGTTTACTGTAGGCTGTTAGCCAATGAAAAGAAGGATAGTGAGTACAATGTACAATATATGTTATAAGTGTCCTGTCTTACACGATTCCCAGGTTTTTTTAAAAATATAATTTAAACTTGTCGGTACCCTTTCTTTTTATCAGCTGCTTGTTTAGAGGCGCATTTTGGCTGAGCCTAAAAATATTCCGTCATAAGTATCACGTTGCTTACCATTTTAAGAGAAAGCGGAAGGCATAAACATTCGCAAAATGCACCTAACACCAGGTGATTAACTTTATAACTCTAGAAGTTGTTAGTCGGAGATTGCTGCTCTACATCCAGAACTTCAAACAAGCAAAGGAGTCAAGGAAGGGCGGTTTCCATAAAGGCAAGCTATTGATAATTACCCGTACTTACCACATCCCATACGGTCGCTTCTTTTAACAAACCCTGGGTTACAAATAACATCGGATGAGACGTGTTCAAACGAGGATCTGTTAGCCGTGCTGTTGATTCCATCCAAAGCTATAACGAACTGTCCTGTCGAGACCGCGTACTGCATCTGAAACAGAATAGCTTCACTTTTTTCTTCAACATCGTCCTTTGTTGAATTTGAGTCATAACCTTTGACTGATAACGAAAAAAGCACATCCTTTGAGTTCGTGACTGCTCGTCTCTTCCTCTGATTAGCCGTCCAACCACATCCGGGGACTGTGACCTCCTTCAGTATACAGGTATTGAGAGAAGGACATCCGCGGATCGTCTGAAGAGTCTCACTGACTTCCCGCTCAAAAGCGGAGCGAAAGCCATTGTAACTTTGGCTGCCTTCGCAGGGACTCATTTCATCCACTGATATTCCGAAATGATGTTCTATCTCCTTAGGGGCTGCCTTACCTGAAAAGGAAGAGAGTATTTTCCTTAACCTAAAAGTGTTAGAGGCTCAAATTGGATTTTGTCAGGGGCCGTCATAAATTCATTTTTGCAACGCTATGAAGGAAAAGATGATAAGTCAGTGAAGTTGACAAAATACTGTCTATCAATGGGATGACTGTCATGATTCAAAGAGCGACCTTCTGCATGCTAAACATCTGTTAAAGAGGTGAAAAAAAGCAAGATGTACTGACAAATGAGTACGGCAGCAAAAGTGGGTAAATGCTTCTTTTTTTGAATAAGAACTTTCAAGCCATGAGAATTCGCGCTGCCCATTGATAGCGTGATGCTTTGCAATTTGAGTTGTCCCCCATATAACAACTAGTACCTGCATGTGTCTGACGAATTCACAAGAGCCCGAGGCTAATGTTAAGTTATTCTTCTCTTAGACTTTTCGAGTCTGACACGGGGTGAGTGAAAAACATTTCTGGCGTTCTTAACGTACGAAGAAAGCAACAAAAACGCCCATCAACGGGAAAAGAAAAAAATTAGATATAAAAAAAGAAAGACATACTTGAGCAAGCGGGGACATTAAAACCTTCCAGGCCATTCCACCTCCACTCAGTATCGGGACCGCAATCATATGTGGGAGTTGTTTCTGTATTGTAAGAGTAGCCATCGTTGCACGTCAAAGTGCAAACTTTTTTGCCAGAAAACATTTGGCAAGACATCCTTCCATTAAGAGGTACAGGCAGGTCTAGGCATTCTGTGGTTGAAAACAATAGTTTTGCAGATTGGTCTTTGGGAAATGATGTGATCAACTTGTCACAAACACAGGACAAAGAAAACGTCTGAGTCCCCGACAGGAATTGAACCAATGACCTTCCATACACCGGTCGGATGCTCTAACCACTGAGCTACGAAGGACTCGTAGTGAGCTGGGCCAGCTAAGTTCAATTCCTTTCGGAGACTCAGATTTTTTCTTTGTCACGTCCTCGTGACATGTTGATCACATCATTTTCTCATTTCTTCACCGAGCTTAAAATTTACCATCTTTCTCTATTTATCACACAGATTGGTCTTTGTTAGGAAAAGATCTATGTCTAGATGCAATCTTTCCACGTGAGTGACTTTCTACTGTTCAGATAGTGCCTACCTATTTAATTACCTGATATCCGTTCAAGAGAGGACATAATATTTCTTCTGTAAAAAAACTACAAGTTTAAAAGGCAGGAAATAGGACTCGAATTACCGACTTCGAAAGCACTGACAGCAGTTTCCATCAAACTTACAATAATTTCTCTTACTAATACCGTATGCGGATTGATAATCTTTTTGAAAACATGCATCCAGTCCGCCCTCAACATGGACGTAAAAAAAAAAAAATGCTTAATGCACTAGATTTACCATCAAATATTATGATATGGTTATACATTGAATGACCTTGGTATTGGCAGATTAAAAACGCTAGAAAAGTTGAGATATTCTCCAATATATCATTTGAACGTGCAATTTTATATCTTGTGACCGGGAACGCTCAATATACAGGTGCAGATCTCAAAGCTTTATTTTTTCTCTCAAAGGACTTTTCAATATAGCTTAGAGACGCTTGAGTAACAATGTAACTACTTCCTTGCCGGATTCTTTGAAACTAGAGACAAATTTAGTAACTGCAAGTGACCAATACAGTAGAGATTCTGTATTTTTTGAACGCTTTACTTTAAAAAAAAAAAAAAACTTGTTACCTCCTTTGGATTCCCTCTTGACCTCTTTGTCACAGTTGGTTCCCCAATAACCTTTGTTACAAATACAATCATACCGGTTAACACCATCTACGCACTTTCCATTAACGCATGGACTTGAGCTGCACTCGTCTATGTTCATGTTACAGTGAGGTCCTGAGAAACCGGGTTGACAGTTGCAGTAGTAGTAGCCATGACGAGACTCACAGTCGAGGAAATGGGAGCAGTTAGTCGTGCACATAGGCAAAGCTGTAAAGTGGAAGTAGTTTGCATGTAATGAGTGGAGATGGACTTTTAAAACATTTCCTCAGGGAAACAATATATTTCTAGGCAATGAATGGAAAGCAGACTTAAATCTCTTTTATTAAGGTTTTCTGAAACTTGATGCTGTGGACAGACATATGGTAAATGAATTGTTGCGAATGAACCTTGATGATGCAACGTTAAAAGTAAATCTTAAACACATTCAGGGTTACCTTATTTTGGACAACTTCAAGATATAATTACAAGGATTGCCTATTTGCCATCCTTTGTCACTAGCTTCCTTAACTGCTGGAAAAACTGCTTCAGCTGAAAACTTTTTGCGTATCAAATTGAACTGATGTGGATGTGAGGACATTCTATCTCCCCAATCAGGTTAAGTTGACGGTTATAACTTCGACTCACTAGAATTTTCCAAGCGGGTCTTTACCTAATATGGCAAGGTATCATTTAACTGTTCGTAGACAACGTGATAGTACCTTGGCATTGGGTCATAAAACGCTTTTCCACCTTCCCTTTGATTCCTTGTAGAAAGTTTGTCCACGCTCGGACACTTCCAGCAATGGGCCAAGTGCAGTTATGAGCTGCATTCCACATGTGGTCTGGATTCGCGGCTACATTCCAAAGATTCACTTGATGCAATGTTCCCACGAAAGCTGTCGACAAACCAGGATTTTTGCCTCCCGCAAGATAACGTTGACCAAGTACGATCCATCCATCTCCAGCTAGAATATCACCTTTAAGCACATTTGTCGCCTTTTTGACTTCAGGTCCATCGATGTACACGGACACATATCCAGTAATTCCATTCCAAACGACTCCCACGAAATGCCAGACATCATCTGCTAAAGGAAAGTTAACGCTCACGACCTCGTCTTTAATCGTAAACTGAACTTTCGATTCCGTAAAAGAGAGTATTATTACGTCTTTTGGTTCACCAGGCACGCTATAGGTGAACAGTGTTCCTGAATTATACGCAGAATCCGCTCGGACGAAAAAGGCAATGGTAAAGGAATCCATTTCCGGAATGTCGTCCACATTCGATAGAACAACCATATCTTTTGTCGTAAGGTGCTTAAATATAAGATCAAAGTTGCTGCCGAGAACTGCAAAGCAAAAAAATTGTGTTAACACTTGAGTTATAGTGCTGCTGATGTTTTAAATTAACTATAATCTTTCAAGGTACCGTTGTTGTTGGATATCAATTTTTTTCTCTTTTGACCCGGCTTTTTCTTGCTTGTTTGTTATTCTTCCTTAAAATACTTTCTACAGGAAGGCTAAGCGCTATTTCAGAAATATAAGTCCCACATTCAGAAAAAAAAATACAGAGAAATTTTAAATATCTGAGCAAGATTATTTGGGCCCTTTAACTAACATGAGTGAAAAGTTAACTCTCTACAGCAATATATTTTGTGATGTTATTCTTTGAAGGACAACGTATCGACTTGAGAAGATGTGTTATCGATCTGAAACCTCGGGAAGGCAATCAGATTGACACTTTTACCACTTTTCAAAATGATCCTGTCAATGGGTTCTGTTACTAGTTTATTAGAATACTACTACTTACATTATCACAGTAATATTACCATTTCTTAGAATGATCCTACTTATCGACTGTGTTATTAGTACATTAGCATAAAACCACTTACAGATATCACAGTGATCGCCAGTGTAAGATGGATAACACTTGCACTCGTAACCGTTTACCAAATCAATACAATAGGAATTAGGTATACAGGGTTCTGAGGCACACTCGTCAATGTTTGTTTCACATGTTTCTCCGGTATAACCTGATTTACATAAACAGGTGGTGTTTCCCGTGGAGATGTCACCTTGACAAGTTCCTCCATTTTCGCAGGGGGATGATACAAATGATAAGCAAGGATCCTTTTTGTCTTCGCAGTTTTCTCCGGTAAACTCTGTCAAGCACCTGCACTTGTATCCATATATCTCATCCACACAAGTACCACCATTACGACACGGATTGGATTCACACTCGTTTATATCATTTTCACAATAAGTTCCATTGTAGCCCTCGGCGCACAAACAGGAGTATCCAAGGTTGTGGTCAATGCAGGTAGCATTGTTCAGACAGGCGTTGTCTAGACAGTCGTCTATGTTCAACTCACATTTCCTCCCCGTAAACCCAGCGGTGCAGGAACAGGTAAAGTTGTTAACTCCATCACGACAAGTTGCATTATTGAAGCAGGGTTTGGCTAAGCACTCGTCTATTTCAAACTCGCAGTATTTTCCGAAATAACCATCGTTACAGCGGCAGCTATAGCCTGTCTGTAAGTTGACACAGACACCGTTTTGTGAACATTTCGCGTCGCTGCAATAATCAATACGGTGCTCACAGCCACGGCCGGTAAATCCATTTGAACACGAGCAGCTGTAATCTGCCACAAGATCGGTACATGTTCCGTTGTTTAGACAGGGATGTGATTCGCAATCGTCAATGTTTCTCTCGCATCGCCGGCCAGTAAACCCGGACTTACAATCACAGTGAAACGCATTAACCTACGCAGATGAAATAACAGAAAATTTAAAGTAATAAGGTCTGAGGACTGACATTTTTAGTCGCTTTACAGCTTAAGTAAGGAGCTAACGAGTGCTATTTGTAATCCCTGGACACCAGCCACTGCCAAAATAAAACCAAACAAATCAATCCAAAATGAATTTCGCTTCAAAGACGTTTGTAGATGACCAATAGGGTGATAAACGGACGTTTAAAATTAGTGTGATCCGGCATGATTAAGATGATTTTGATAACTATTATGATGATAATGATGACGATAATGGTGATAATAATGATGATAACAACATAATAACATTTTAGTTTCGAAATTAACACGTTCCTGTCGCTCCTGTTCACTGAGGCTTTAGAATAAAGCAAAAACTACCTGATCGTAACAGGTCCCACCATATAAACATGGAGAAGATTCACACTCGTCTACTTCAGTTTCACAGTATGTTCCTAAATAACCAGGACGACAATCACAGGTATAGGTATTTATTCCGTCCCTACATGTGGCTCCATTTGCGCATGCATGCACCAAGCAATCGTTATTATTTACACTGCAATCTAGTCCGCTGAACCCATCAGTGCAGGTGCAAGAATAGCTATTGATTTTATCTATACATGTTCCATGGTTGTGACAGGGAGAGCTTGAGCATTCATTAATATCAACTCTGCAAGTGCGCCCTGTATAGCCTCGCTTACAAATACACTGAAAGTCATTTATCAGATCAGTACAAGTCCCTCCGTTTAAGCACGGGATTTGTGCACATTCATCAATATTTATTTCACACTTAAGCCCAGTAAACCCCCCTAGACAGACGCATGCGTATTCATCAGCACCGTCAATACACGTTCCTCCATTCAAGCAAGTGGCGTTTTGGCAGTCATCAATGTTGTACTGACATTGGTCTCCACTAAACCCATCTGCACACTGACAAGAGTAAGAGGCTGGGCCTTCAAGGCAAGATGCATTGTTTAAGCATGGCATCGAGGCGCAATGGTCAATATCCCAACTGCACGTATTTCCTGTGAAACCTGGTTGGCACGCGCATGCGAATTCGTTGATCTCATCATGGCAAGTACCGTTGTTCGAACAAGGATTAGACGCGCAATCATCTATGTTATTTTCGCAGTGGATACCATCAAATCCGTCATTGCACTCGCAGTGGAAGCCGTTAATCTTGTCGATACACCTTGAGATAAATTTCAGAAGAAAAATAAATTGTTTGTCAAGGACCGCCTTTTTGGTCCTAATTAGCTGTAGTTTTAGAGTTTAATGTCTATCTGTTTGAATTGACGCTGGAACATACAATGGGGTCCCCCCTCTTCCCGATTTTCTCTGAACTATTTTATGTCAGATAGCCGCCATTTTGAATGTCTTCAAAGGTCCCTAATATAATTATAATCTTGTATAGTTCATTGGTAGGTAAGACGGGTACAATCTTTCCTTTGGACAAAAATGCATTAGCAATTAAAGAGGCATGCTTTATCCATAATATGATGTTTTATGTTATTATTACTCTTAATTTTAGTTAAATTTTCTGTGAGAGTGTATGCCATGTCTTAAACTTATGAGGCCAGTTTTCGAATTAAAATCCTCAAGCTTAAGCTTTCTTGCTGACAAAAAATTTGGTTATGGACATATTGTTGAAGTTGTTTCCATCGTTAACAGAAAGAAAGGAAGATAGGAAGAAAAAAAAAAGAGTGAAAAAGAAAAAGGAATGGGTTGAAATAGAGAACAGCAAAGATATTGTCAGAGTACAACTACTAACCTGGCTTCATTCAAACAAGGATTTGAGTCACATTCATCAATATTCAATTCGCACTTTTTACCAGTGAATCCTTCCGGACAAATACATTGAAATCCATTGACCTGATCAACACAGGTCGCGTTATTCTTGCATTCTACATTGATACAATCATCAATGTTTTCCTCGCAATTTTTACCGTGAAAACCGGAGTTACAGATGCAGTGGTAGCTGCCGATTCCATCCACACATGTAGCTTCATTCTGGCAAGGGTCTGATGCACACTCATCAATATTCTCCTCACAGTCATTGCCCTGGTACCCTGTACAGAAAACGCGCAAGATCATCACGTGTTATTTGTTACTATATATATCTTGCATTACTTTTACTGTTGGTATTACGTAGACATAGAGATTCATAGTTACGTTAGAGACCTTTTCAGTGCACTCTAACGGAATTAAATTCTGTACAACAATATCGACACTGACAATTCCTTTCTAGATCAATCTATAAAAGTATTCGCAAGAGCAATTAACTGACCAGTTACACAGTGGCATGTATAGTTGTTTGCCCCAGCTTCGCAAGTCCCTCCGTTCTGGCAAGAGGCTAGCAAGCAGTGGTTTATGTCCGTATCGCACAACCTTTCAGTATAACCTGGTTCGCACAGGCAGCTGAATCCTCCAGGAATATTGCTACATGAAGCGTGGTTTGAACAAGGTGATGAGATACACTCATCAACATCATCTTCACAGTTAAATCCTTGGAATCCTTGTGGGCATGTGCAGGTGTAATTATTCACCAAGTCATGGCATGTGCCATTGTTCAGACAAGGTTGGTCCTGGCAATCATCAACATTGGTCTCGCACTGTTTGCCAGTGTACCCAAGCTGACAGGAGCACATGAAGTCATCAATGAGGTCCGTGCAAACAAAATTGTTCTTACAGGGATTTGGCTCGCAGTTATTAATTTCTGAGAAAAAGAGAAAGAAAGGAAAAGATTGTTGAAAGAAACCGAAATGCGTCGACGGAATTAAAACTGTGGTTAGCGGGAGCAAAGAAATTTGTAAACCTGCAACTTCGGTATGTCGAAATATAAGGTTCACCTTGACAATCCTTTAAACCTTTGGACCCTTCTTGAAGTGCCACTGTTGTCCCTGGGCACGGAACGCAGGCGCGACGTTCAATGTGAGGCTGAAACGAGCGTCGATTGCACAGCGTACATGGAACCAAGCCAGTTCGAGAGAACGTGCCGGGAGGACAGGGGACTAACAAAAAACAAAATATGATAAAGGCTGAACGTTACTTGAAGGTGATATATTTTTTTTGTTACCATGTAAGACGAATTTTCTTGTCTGAATTATATGTATAGGTTAATCCGCCATTGAGTCTGCATAATATTTTATGTCCTCTTCTAACTCTCTTAAATGAATTTGCTCTTGATTTTAGTGGTTGACAAAGTTCGTTCTTAAAAAAAATGGCACCGGTGTTAATGATAGAAACGAGGAAATATCCTGTAAATTTTTGCTATGTTTTCTGGATCATACTTTTTTACCCCATTACCTACCTCTACACTCCTTTGAGGTTGTGGATCCGATGCCAGGAGTCGTTGTGGCTGAGATGCATTTAAAACACCCTGTTTGTCCCTCTTTCTCTTGATAAAAGCCCTTTTCGCACGAGATGCAAGGCTCCAGTCCCGTCGTCGAATATGATCCAGCTTTGCAAAAAGCTTTCAAAAGGAGACACAACCAAACACGTTGTAACAAAGACTACACTGAGTTTGTATGTCAATTTCTCCCCATTCCTTGGCGCATATTTGCTATTATTGATTGTACGCAGCATTTTCAAAGGCGATTTTAGGCAATTATTGGGTGAGATTTTTGTCGTATCCGTAATAATCAAGGTCGAGGTAACTGTTATCAGCCGAGCCGCAGGCCAAGGCTGATAAAAGACTTGCCGAGACCTTGACTATTTCAGATATTACAAAAACCGAATCTAATTATTGTTTAATTACATAGTCATTATTACACAAAATAAAAAGAGTGAAAATGACAGTGACGATTGCGGAGAAATTCGGACTTAACTAAATAGAGGCCATTAATGTATTATACTTCTGTACAAACCTAAACAACTTGAACGGTGGTCTGTTCTGGACTCTACAGTTGAAGTATTTTGTGGACATGGCAGGCAACTCTCTTGTGATTCGTATTCTTGGTAAGTTCCAATGGGGCAGTCCTCACATATACCAAGGACCTTATTAAGGTATGTCCCAGATGTACAGCTTACTAAGGGAAAACCAAACAATAAAAGGATTTCAAGGCTACTCACCAATTACTTTTCCCCTAAATTACGGTGCGGAATTTTGGCTACTTACAGTCGGGATTTGGAAACTGAGGTAAACTCTAATTAAAGTTCGTATTTAACTCTGGTTTAGTAAACCAATATACCATATATGAATTTCCGTTTATTGTTCAAATTGAATCCATTTTTATCTCACCGCAGACTTCATCTTGGTACACTTGTCCTGTATCACATAATCTCTCAGGCTCTGAAATGTTTACCGACTTCTTATCGGGAACAAATACGGTGCCGTGGACGTTGAGGCTGCCATTTTCAACTGCCTTTTTGATCACGTTGCCGATGGTCCTGGCCATCCCAACTCCTTCCAATCCTGCCAATACTTTGCTTTGCTTGGTGTCATTTACCCCAGTGCTATTATCAAGGCGCACTGCAAGGATAGAATCATACAACATATGGATGGCGTACGATGTCGTCTCAAATACTAGCCGACAACCACGGTCTGACGGGAACGCATTACCACGTTTACATTTATTCCAGCATATGTCGCGTTTTTTAGCGAAAAAAGCAGGAACTTCAACTCCAAGTTTGTGGTGCTCAATATGCCTAAATTTAGTAACAGTGTGTAACTATATGAAGGGAAGAAATCAAATATTCTATTATGCCGCTTATAACGCCCGTCACGGACATGTGATGATGGCGATGATGAGGAAGAGGATCTTTTTCACTTAATTTGAGATCACTCCTTTATCCAAGCTTACATCTATGTGTATCTGTTAAAATATAACAGATTTATCAAAAAATATTTATTACCAAAAACTAGAAATAAACAGGCAAATGAAATAAGCCTCTCGTCTTAAACCTGACTGATATGAGTGTCTCATTGCTTTGGACAGAAAGAATAGCAAACTTACCAACAATATTAAACGTGATTGTTGTTTGAGGAATGAGGCGGGACGATCGTCGAGTTCTGCCAAACACTTTCAAGCAAATGTAGAACAAGGAAGTTAGATTCTTAAACTTAGAGGTAAACAACCTTTTCACCTATCAGCCAAGTGAACTTCTTGTAATAAAATTATAGTGCTTCGGTTCTTTTTCCTCTAAGCCAACAGTGTCGTGAAGCTTGTGGTCACTAATAGAACCTCCCCATCCACTTTTCCTTAAATCTTAACTAAACGAAATTAAGCACTAATGCCAGGAGAGTAAAGTCTCAGTTTAAGACTAAACCGTATTCATTTCCTGGGCCTAGGAAAACCCTTTATATACAGTTAATGGTTAATGGGAAAATGAATGAATGAATATATGAATGAATGAACGAAGGAATGAGTGAGTGAGCGAGTGAATGAATGAACGAATAAATGAAAAAGGAATCATTGCTCCACGACATTTTGTAATATTTAGTTATATGTCCATTTAAAATAAGCGTCCTACCAGATGCACGTTTCAGCCTTCTATACTCCAAGTGAATTATATCACACTTGACTTTGACATTTTCAGCCCTGCATTTATCTTTGTACCATGACTGTTGGCAAGCAAAATCATATCTGGACTCGTTTAAGATCTTAATGAAGTTCTTTTTTATCTCTTCCTGAGTTGAAAGGCTCCTGCAATCTCCTTCGTAGTAAAAAACACGAAACTCGGCCTTTACTTGTCTGATATGGCTTGGTTCTACAAAAAAAAAGTATTCGTTTGTTTGTTTGTTTCAGCTGCTATATCCTTTGTCTGCTTTTTTATCTTTAAGAGAATACTAGAGTTGTTTTCAGAAATTTTAACGTCGAAAATTGCACAGCCAAGATGGTGTACCCGTGAATAGCTACAAACAAACGCTTTGTACAGTGTTAGCTCTTTCATGAAGTAGTGTTATCGTGAAATGTTTTGACAAAACAACGTTCAGAATGATAAGGAATTAGACCGATCAATACAACGAATCATTTGCTAACCATTTGTGCCTGCATGATACAGTAGACATCTTGATAGTAGCCCTTTTTTAGAAAAAGTCCACCCTTCTTTTCTTCCAAGCCTCTGACTTTTGAACGTTTTATTATAATTACTGTTCTTTTATTTTGCCCCTTTATGGCATGCTTTCAGCACATTTTGGCTTTTTAGCAGAGAAATAATTCATAAACAAGTAATTTAAAAGCTTATATTATAATGTCCCGAACTTTCGACGACCTGTTGATACCGTTAACAAGCAATGAGTAAATGAGCGACTGAGTTCAAAAGAAGTTCAAGTCCTCTAAATTTACCAAGTTCCTTGATAATGGCGCCATGAAGGCACCGTAACTTAAAATCATATCGTTAGTTTTCACTTGTTTATATATCTCAAAATCATTATTAATAAGCAATAATTCAATAAAAGCAAACAGAAAATTAAACTTAAACATGCATATCATTTAGTGGCTGTTTTGATAGTCAACCAACATCTAACTCTCAATCATGTATCCAGCTACTGATAACTACGTGCTTCGTTTAAACAACCTTCTTACCTGTACAGTCTGGCAAACGCGGGGATGGAAACCATTTTAAGTTTGGTCCACAGGTCCATACTTTTGCTGATATTTCGCCACGGGGAAAGGTCGATTCGTTGTGACAAAATGGACTGCAAAAATGTCCGAAGAGCCAGTTGTCACATGCCACGGCTCCACGCTTTGGAGGACTAAGTTCCTCACAGTCTTTCGCTAGGCAAGCATAAAAATTCAAGGCTTGAGATATTTCTCTACAAACTAAAAACCTACAACTGCAAATCTGGTCTGTATGATGTCTGGTCTGCATATATATTTCTATATTATATATATTTATGCCAGCTATAATTCTATGCCTGGTCATTTACAAGTTTTTGAGAGATTAAAAAAAAATAATTAGAAGAAAAGGCACGAAGGAGGAGGACGTCCGCGAAAGAGAAAACCTCTTCTTCTCTCCTCGCGCGCGTCAAAGCGGCCATTGCGGAAGCTGCGAAAGGCAAGCGCGTGGACTCAGCACTGAAAAACATTCAGTTGAGCGACTTACAAACGCGAACAATCTTATCAACTCTCGGGTCAGCCAGGTTGATCCTTAAGCGAAATGGCAGTGCAGCCAGTAGTGCTTATTTTGGGAGTTTTACTGTTGCCATGAACTTCGGGACTACCGAGAACAGATCCAGCTAAAGGTTAGGGCACGAAAAAAACGCTGGACCAAACAATGCAAGTCCGACAGTCTAGGTAAGTGTACTCCCGTGGGAATGTCAGGCTGCAAACAAGCCGCCCATCTAAATATATTCAGGGCACCTCAACGAACGCAAAAAAATTTTGGTGACACTGTCGAAACTTGCACAGAGCTGTTTTATGGGGATTTTAAAACATGACATAATTCGCCAGCATAAAAACGAGGCTATGAGACAGAAATGGTTATAACTTTCCACTGTTTGGATGAAATTGTTCCAAAATGGTAGAGATTACGTACCTCAATTGCTTGACCAATATACAATTCTACCGGGTTCTCAGCATGGCTACGTGGTAAAGCTAGCATGGAAACGAGGTTCTAAAATAAAAATGGCTGTAACTGTCAACCATTTGAATGAAATTGCTCCAATGCTGATGAGATTATGTTCCTCAATTACTTTACTGATATTCAGCAGTTTTTTTCTGCATGAGAACGTGACAAAGCTAACATGAAAACGAGGCTCTAACTATACAATCAAGATAAAATTTTTCCAGTGGAAAAAATAACAAAAACATGTGAGTGTCATGTTTCTAGATTATACCAGACCATTTCGGTAATTAACATGGAAACATGGTTAAGCTAGAATGGAAATAAGTTAAGGATCCTAAGGTAAGCTTACTAGAGTTTTTACAACTTTTACAAAAAAGACAGACAGACCGAACCTGACTTGGCTCGTCACATGCTTGCACAGTTACTAGTCATAAAAGTACTGTAACTGATACGATTTTGTACATTTGGCATAATGTAAAAGCCAACACCTCGTATGTAGTTCAACGATCAGCCTAACTATCGCTGCCATCACTCTTGTGTTCCATGTCTTCGACTTCAGAATCGTCATCAACCAGCTGGTTATCGCACAGATCGTCATAATCAGCACAGCTTGACAGGTCGGTGCACTTGAATCCATCTTTCCGGCAGTTCTACGTATTTGATGAACATCGGCTCTTTACTCAACCACACTTTACCAACTGGATGCATATGATAGCTTCTGATGCAGGAGGCAGAGACGTCATAAGTGGTCAGTACCCATATGCATTTGTCGTCTTCCAAATGGCAGCCCGGTTTTGGTTCAAGCACGGTGTCCAAATTCCACACAAATGCTTGATAGTTGGCTCTCTTGATAGCCTGCAAAAGTGCTTCTTGTGTCGGTGGTAAGGTCTCAGACTGAGCTTGCTTCTTCCGGAAAAGCCACTACCTTAGCTCTTTATCATTATTGACGGTAGTGTTGGGCACGTACTCTTGACAAACAAGTTTTTCGATGCCAGAAAAGATAATTGTTGGCTGGGCTTTCTTACCACGGTTTGCTAGAGCAGTGATGGTGTCTTCATCTGCTTCCCTGAAGTCCTTCCGCCAAGTGGCCTTTCCTTTACCAGCAAAGCTCAGAGTGATGTCAGCGCCACTCAAAGCGTGAAGACCAGGTACTGCTGCAACTTTTGTGCTGCCGAGGGCCTGCACAGTAGGTTTCAAATTGATAACTTGGTGCCGCTGACCAATGCCAATAACAAAATGCACATCACTGCAGAGCTGTGGATATCTTCTTAGAGAAAGCATAAAGACATCAGTGTCTGGCGAATAGATGTTGATTTTTGATGCTCTATGGGAAGCAGCATCAACAGCGTGGAGGGTCATCTTAGTGTCCGCCTCTCCCTGACTGCTTCTTAGGTGTGTTACATCCCGGTGTGTTGCTGGAAAGTTGTTTTCCCAGGTCACAACGACACTCGTTGCCCTGCGTTCAGTTGGGTGTGTTACATCCCGGTGTGTTGCTTGACAGTTGCTTTCCCAGGTCACAACGACACTCGTGGCCCTGCGTTCAGTCGGGTCAATTCGGTTGTAGATACTCCGTCAATTCCATCTTGGCTCTTTCGTGAGAAACTGGACGCTTCATGGTTAGCTTGGCAATGTTAGTGGAGTCCGTTATCCGGTAGTAGCCTGGATGTTGATTGCCTTGCCTTCGTACTCGGTTAGAAGACTTAGTAGGGAAAGGAATGTCATATCTGTCGAAGACCAGGTGTAATACATCGCTGTCACTGTTTTTCTTGAGTAACTGTTCTGTAAAATGTTCATCAAGGTGAGCACAGGTTTTTATGATGGCGGGTTTGTCAAGTGACTGTAGCTCTGCCATTCCATGTACAGTGACTACCTTTTTTCTCACAACTGATGCTTCTAGTGGCACATCGCTTGAAGGGTCTCTTGGTCCTTCTTTTCCGATTTAGCTCATTAGTGCACTTTTGGTTGAGCAATGCAACATGGTACCATCTGCTGCAAAAAGTGACCTTGGCACAGTGAAGACTCATACGTGCCTATGACTTCTTGTAGGT